GAACTGGGGGTGCCCTAGGGGTTTGGGGAGCCTTGACCCCGTTCGGCCTCCTCCCAATTGCAGTATCAACTACTGTTTACCACGGGCCTGCTCTGTGCCACGGGCGTCAGTTGCACCGTCTTTATTCCTCACGACAACCCTGCAGGGAAGGGGCCTGGGGACAGAAAACAGGGCTTAGAGACCAAGCTACAGCCGCTGAGCTGGGCTGGGCCCGAAACCTGACTCACGGCCCCAGAGTCCGCGCTCTCCCGCGGCCGAGACGGGTGGAAGGGAAGTGAGGGGCTCCCAGGGTCTTTTCTGAATTCATTCCCGAGCCAGGGTGGCCCGGGTCCAGGTGTCACCCTCTGCTTCTAGGCCGTTGGGCTGGTGTCACAGCCCCCCACTCACCCTCCAGGACAAACAGTCACCTGTTTTTTGTGTTTTTTTTTAAAATAATGTAAATACAGATTATTTGTCCCCACACCAAGAAGAAAAGCAGCCTTCTGACAAGTGGAGGCCATTAAGATTCTTAAGCAGCTGACTGGGACCCACTCCAAGGGGAAGACTTGCCGTTGCCTTCAGATGGTGGGTCTATGGACCTAACACTTGAGCTTTTTCCATGGGGCTCCTCCTCCTGCTTTTTTAACTCCTCACGATGGACAAGCCGGTGTTGCGGGCAGTTTGTGTGACTCTTGTTCCTCCAGGTACAGTGGGGCTTTGACTTACGAGTTTAATTCGTTCAGAGACCGAGCTCGTTAAGGAGCTCATTAACTCAAATTACTCTATCAACTCAATGCAAAAAATCAGCCGAGAGACAGCTGGTATCTCAAAAAACTCGTTAGTCGGGACACTTGTAAGTCAAGGCCCCACTGTACTTTCCCATGAAGCATCAGACATTGTGTCCTTGTTGGCAGAAGCCGCGGTCTTCAGGCCCAGCAGGAGCTCGGTTCATGGGTTCTCCAATTCCAGAGCAGACTAGAGCCGGTGTGCCGGTTCCCGTTGTCTCAGGCCTCTCACCGGAAGGCAGGTTTTACTCCCGCGTCCTCTGAGAGATCGTGGGAATCGCTGTCCACGTTCCCTCTTCACCTCAGCTTGGCTTTCAGTGCAGGTGGCAACACGAGGTCCTTCTGGGCCTCCCAGGCAATAACAGGCCACAGGTAGATGGGCATCGCCGACGTGCAGCTCACCGATGCCACGTGATTAATGGCAACCCTGCACTCTCAGAGAGGGGGTGCTTGGCGCCATCGCAGCTCCAGAGAGCACCAGGCATGAACCGTGCTCAGCGGTGAACTTTAATATTCATCCCAACAGGTCCAAGAGGTCTGTGTGACAGTCACTGGTTCCTCAGGGGCTGCAGGTCTGGGACACCACGGATCTGCCCTTGGTGCCCCTCTCCCTGACCTGCCTGCTTGGCCTCCCTTGTCTGTGCTCCTGGAATATTTGCACTGGTCTAGCCCACTCCAGGCCAGACTCATTAGGAACTCAAGATTATTATTATTTTTCTTACTTAAAAAAACAACTTTATTGTTGAAAGTATTACATATATCCCTCTTCCCCCCCTTCCCCCCTCCCCCCCCCCACTTCCCCACTGACCTCCTTCCAGCGACCCCCCCTGCTCCCTGCCCAAGGCCTTTACCATCCTAATAGTCTGTGTCCACATATACATACACACACACAAGTTCTTTGATCACTTCCCACCCACCTACTCTCCCCCGCCTTCCCTCTGAGATTCTACACTCTGTTCCATGCTTCCATGTCTCTGGATCCACTCCGTTCATCAGTTTATTAATTAGATGCCACATATGAGGGAGATCATGTGATACTTGTCTCTCTCTGACTGACTTATTTCACTTAGCATAATACTCTCCAGGTCCCGCCATGCTGTCTCAAAGGGTAAGAGAGCCTTCATTTTAACTGCTGCATGGTATTCCTTGGTATAAATATAGCTTTTTTATCCACTCGTCTACTGATGGGCACTTGGGCTGTTTCCAGATCTTAGCTATTGTAAATTGTGCTGCATGAACATAGGGGTGCATACATTCTTTCTGATGGTGTTTCGGGTTTCTTAGGACATAGTCCTAGAAGTGGGATCACTGGGCCAATTGGAAGTTCCATATTTAATTTTTTGAGGAAGCTCCATACTGTTTTCCATAGTGGCTGCACCAGTCTGCATTTCTGCCAGCAGGGTACTAGGGACCCCTTTCTCCACATTCTCGAAGTCATTTGTTGAAGGTAGCCATTCTGACAGGTGTGAAGTGACACCTCATTGTGGTTTTAATTTGCATCTCTCTGATGATCAGTGGCTTTGAGCATTTTTTCATATGTCTCTTGGCCATCTATATGTCCACTTTGGAGAAGTGTCTATTTAGGTCCTTTGCCCATTTTTTAATTGGATTGTTTGTCTTCCTTTTGTTAAGTTGTATGAGTTCCTTATCTATTTTGGATATTAACCCTTTATCAGATGTATCATTGACAAATATGTTCTCTCAGACAGTGGGCTCCTTTTTTGTTTTGTTGGTTTCTTTTGCTGTGAAGAAGCTTTTCATTTTGATGTAGTCCCATTTGTTTATTTTCTTCTTAGTTTTCTGCCCTAGGAGCTGTATCTGTAAACCTATTGCCATGAGAGATGTCTGAGATTTTGCTGCCTGTGGTTTCTTCTAGGATTTTTATGGTTTCCTGACTTAAATATTTAAGTCTTTTATCCATTTTGAGTTTATTCTTGTGTATGGTGTAAGTTGGTGGTCTAGTTTCATTTTTTTGCATGGATCTAATTTTCCCAACACCATTTATTGAAGAGACTATCTTGTCTCCATTGTATGTTATTGCCTCCTTTGTCAAATATTGAGCATAATGGTTTGGGTCGATTTCTGGGGTCTCTGTTCTGTTCCATTGGTCTACATGCCTGTTCTTGTGCCAGTAGCAGGCTGTTTTGATTATGGTGACTTTGTAGTATAACTTGATATCTGGTATTGTGATTCCTCCAACTTTGTTGTTCTTTCTCAAGATTGCTGCAGCTGTTTGGGATCCTTTTTGGTTTCATGTAAATTTTTGGAGTATTTGCTCTGGATCTGTGAAATATGCTGTTGGTATTTTAATAGGGATTGCATTGAATCTGTAGATTGCCTGGGGTAGTATGAGCACTTTAAATATGCTAATTCTACCAACCTATAAACATGGTATAATCTTCCATGTGTTTCTACCTTCCTCTATCTCTTTTTTCAATGTCCTGTAGTTTTCTGAGTACGTCTTTTACCTCCTTGGTTAATTTTATTCCTAAGTATCTTAATTTTTTTTGTTGCAATGGTAAATGGGATTGTTTATTTTCCTTTCTGAGAATTCATTATTGGTGTATAAAAAAGCCATTGATTTTTGGGTGTTGATTTTGTAGTCTGCTACATTGCCAAATTCATTTATTAAATCTAGTAGTTTCTTGGTGGAGTCTTTAGGGTTTTCTATGGACAATATCATATCATCTGCGAATAATGAGAGTTTTACCTCCTCCTTTCCAATTTGGGTGCCTTTTACTTCTTCTTGTCTGGTTGCTGTGGCTAGGACTTCCAGTACTATGTTGAATAAGAGTGGTGAAAGCGGACATCCTTGTTATGAACTCAAGGTTCTTGTAAATACAAGTTGTGTTTAATACATCTTGTCTGTTTATTGGGGGGCAGGGAGGACCCAGGTTGGTAAATATGGGATAATCTTATAATGCTGTTGTAAATTGTTTCTTGAGGTTAATGATAGTATATAAACCCTTAGGATATTTTTTGGTATTTTTTGTATTTTTTTTTTTATTTTTTTTTTTTTTTATGAAATGACCAAATGGCTAGGCCTGTAGTAGACAGGCCCAGAGATGGCTCCTGGGGAGGACCCTGGAGGGCAGGGCAGAGGCGGGGGGCTAGGGACCTCCTCTCACAGCCCCTGCGCGCTGGGAAGTCAAGGCTGTAGTCTGCGTGGAGGCCAGACCTGCTCCCGGAACACTGGTTTGATCTGGACCCAAATCCTGGAAACGGCATTAAATGGTGGGCCTCCTAGATGAAAGGCAGGGTGGACTAAGGAAAGGCACGAAGGAAAACCCTGTGGTTCCACAGGCAGTCTACTTTCCCGCCTAAGGCGGGCAGTGGGGACAGCCCACACGCCTGGCACTAGCCTTAGTAGGTGGGAAACTGCCCACTTTCTCAAAGTCCTGGACACTCCATCCCTCTGGGTGGAGCCAGGGGCTGCCCGAGAACAGAACAGCGGCGCTCCTGGCACATCTGGCAGCAGACCCATAATCCTTCCCTGCGTTTAAAAGCTGTCCAGCTCACCCAGCACCATTTCAACTGATTGAGCCACACCCAGAGTTCTTCTGGTCCTTACTTAATGTGCCCCCAAACATGCCCCCCCCCCCTCAGCTGCTGCGTCTGTGTAATGGATGAGGAAGGAGGCTTTGCTGTGACAGCCTCACCCTTGTGGCATATCATTCTTAAAAGGTCAAGCATGAGTCTTGTAGAAATTCTGGACTAAATTACAATGTGGCAAGTGGTGCATTCTCTTTGAAATTCAAGACGAAGAAATATTCTGGATGCCAGCTATGCAGTAAAAGGCAATGGCCCGCCTCCTGAGACGGCCACCCAGCCAGTCCTGGTTCAGGCGGCACATCCCTGCAGGCAAAACACCTTTTGGGGCGGGTGTGTGGGAGGGGGGGCTGTAAACACATCCCTCAAGGAGAGGTGGGATTCTGTAGGTGATTTGTGATGCTGTCTCATGGCCTCTTTTCTTACTCTGGGCTTTGAAATCTTGCCTATCAAGTCTCTGGGAACAAGACATTTAAGGGGCGGGCTCTGATGGGGGGGGGGGGGCGGAATGCCTGATGTACCTCACCCCGCCCGGACGCAAGCTCAGCTCCCACGTAGGTGCACTGAAATGGCACCTTTCTGCAGGCGGGGGATGGCCTTCTCCCCAAGTATCAGACGCAGCTAGTGCTGGTGCCAGAAATCCCTCCGTCCCCACTCTCCCCTCCTCCAAGAAACCAAGACTTGAAGTTTTCTACCAATTCAGAATCTTTATTTCTTTAGAAGGAATGTATAATGTTAGTCACGGATCAGGGAGACACATAAAAGCGGAATTTAAAAACTGCAGCCGATGGCACCCGAGTCCAGGCTCGGGCTCTGCCCGCTCTGCTCTTGGAGTCACTGCTACGACCCCAAAACCCGACAGTCTCTTCCGAGGGAGTAAAGGAAACAGCGTCAAGCAGCGACAGTTTTTACAAGTGATTATTCCAGGAATGCACAAAAGCCACGGTTCAGACAAATCAACTACAAAATCATTTTTAAAAAAAGGGGGAGGGGGAAGGGGGTCCTGCTTATTAGAAACAAAGATTGGACAGAAGGTGAGAACACTCCAGGCAGGGCTCTGCCTCCTGTGCTGTGACCCCGAGGGGCACGGGCTGCGGCCCTGCAGGGCTGACAGGGTTGTTTCCAGCAGACACGGGGGTCAGGTGCCTGGCTCTCTTCCTACAGCAGAAACCAAACACTGCACGGCTGCCAGACGAGAGCCTGGGTGAGCGGGGCTCTGGTCTTTGGAGAGCCCCTTGCTCTGCAGGAGGCCCCAGTGCCCAGAGGGGCTCAGGTTCAGAGGCACAGTGGGCGCCGCGCTTCAGCCTCAAGAACCAGGTTGGCTGCCTCCGAGGCAGGACTGACCCCTGTGCCCTCAGCTGTCACAGGGCCGGGGCGGGCAGGCGCCTCCCTCCGGAGGACAGCACTGCTCCCCTGCCAGCTCCCATGGAGACGTCCTTAGTGCATCATGAAACTTGGGTTTTCGCATTTGGTCAATCTTGGGGAACAGTAGCCACAAGAAAAGTGTGAATGTAGATGTATCCATTGCTGAAGAGGCGGGACCGATGGGAGTTCACTAGTCAGTAGTGTGGGGCGAGGGAGGGTGAAAGGTGGTGTGAGGCTGCTGGCTCAGCATGTTCACAGGTAAAGATTGAGGGACCCTCTAGAGCAAGCCTGTCAAACTCGTGGCCCACGGGCCGCATGCCTCAAACACGCGTTTGACATGCTTGCTCTAGAGGAAGAGCCGGCTCCGGGCTGAGTGGCAGGGCCTCTGTGCTTCTCTGGAGCATGTACATCCGCCTGACATGGGCCCAGAGGGAGGCCGACGGCTCTGACCACAGGCGTCATTAGCTTGAGGTGTAGACCCGGGGCTCCACCTCACAGGATCTGCAGACAACCTGCCCTCCATCTACAGCTGCAGTCCTGTGTCCCCTAAGGTCCCCTGTGACCTGCCCCCAACGACCTTCTGAAGCTCTCCCGGCAGAACAAAAGCACTTGAAAAATTACATCTGAATCTAAATCTGTGCAGGTTATCTGTAGCAGCTAAGACCCGACTCTTAGGGCATTCTTCTACAGACTCCTAATCCACCCGCGGCTCCATGAGCTTCCCTGGGTGTGGCTGTCAAGGGAGCCCTGCGGGTGGAAGAGTGCTGTGACCAGGTCACTTTCTGCCTTGTTCCTGCCGAGTCCGAGGCGATCTGCCCCGAGGCCCTCACCCCCACGGCAGGCGCATTCCTAGGAATGCTGTAGGAGGGGCAGCTGGGAGCCTGCCTGCTCCCCGGGGCCTGAGCTCCCTGGGAAACGGTCTGCTAGCTGCACCTCCCTCAGCTGGCTCTAAGAAGCTCTGCTCCTTCCGGGGCCGCAGGGCTCTCCTCCTGCGCTTAGAGACGTCTCCTCTTTACCCTCTTGGAGGAAAATGAGAAACTTGACCACAGGAAGGAATCGACAGGGCGGAGGGGCTTGCAGAATCCGCAAATGAAATCAGTTCCTGATGTGACTCACAGAGTTGACTGGAACCTAATCAAGACCTCAAGAGGCCAGGGCCGCACACTGAGGGGCAGGAAATGGGAACCCCCAACAACTGAGGAGGAAACGGGCTGCGGTGCTCAGTGACGGCTTCCGCGCTGGTCGAAGGAGAGAGACCCCTTTTCTCTCCCCTCACGTCCCTACCTCTTTGCTTGGGAAAAGGGAAGGGGCCTGGTGAGACCTGGCCTGGTATTCCCAAAGAAAGCAGGATAAATAGGAACCCGAGGTCTCAGTACCACCAATTGTGGTTCCATTAAAAAAAAAAAAAAAGGGAAGGAGAAAATAAAAGAAAAATTAAAAAAACAAAACCCTTGGCTAATACGAGGAATGCTACGCCCTGCCTCTCGCCCGTGACACGCCCGCCGCCGCCAGGCCGGTCCCACTATACTGGGCAGAGGTGGAAATTCTTTTCCTCCTGAGGTTTGCTTATCCAGTTCCCATAGCCCATGTCCTTCAGGCCTTTTTTGAAGTGGTTCTTGGCTATCTCGTATTCACGGGCAGCCCTCTTGGCCTCACCATAGGAGAGTTTAAGTAGATCCCTGCGGCCCCGGAAGGAGCAGAGCTTCTTAAATAGGAGGAAAATGTTCTTTTTGGAGACCCGGGACAGTTCATTCCGTGGCCTGGGGAAACAGAAACGTTACTCAGCCAGGGCCGGAAAAGGAGGGCCGGGGCGCCGTGGCGGGCGGGTAGCTCGGAAGCCCGGAGGCCAGCAGCCACGCCGTCCCTGTGAGCCACTCTGCTCCCTGCTCCTTACCCGTCCACGGTGCCCCTGGTGCCGTCCAGGATCTCCAGGTCGTAGCCGTCAGCCAAACACCAGTTGACGCTCGTCTCCTTGGTCTTCCCGGACTGCCTTTTGGAATCATAGACGCTGACCCGGCCAACCTAGGAGTCGCAGGAGCAGTGGGAGAGGACGGACACGTCTCAGGAAAAAGGTTAGAAGCAGGGACCCGAGTCTCAGAGGGCAAAGGGAGTGAGGGCTCGGGACCTTGCCCCTCATTTATGTAGGATTCTACGTGGCTGAAACTCTAGGCACACTAACCCCACTTTGATGGAAATTAATTCCAGACTAAAAGGAGGAACGCTGTTGGCATTCAAAGGAGAAAAGGGTAGGTTCTTGGGATACCAACTAAGGCTCCCTGGGCCACACCGGACTTTTCTGCTCTGCGAACAGACGGCTTGAGAAGGAGAAAATGGCGAGGGAGAAGCAGACGGGGCTATAGCACCTTGGGGTGGTTGACAACAAAGGGATAGCGCAGTCCATTCTCAAACGCACTCCCATCTCTCGTCACACGACAGCAAATGGCACGAGTCAGATGCCCTTGGCTGAAAAGGTAACCTGGGTGAGAAAAAGCACACGTTTGGCACCAGGAATGAACCGGAAGGCTGAGGGCTGTGGAGGTCAAGAAAAGGAAGACACTGCCGTTGTAGCCGCTGTGTTTCAGGGACTCATCTGGAGAGACCTGCGTGGCACGTCCCTCACCTGGGCTCGTGCCTAAACCAGTCTTCCCGTCATGACAGATGGACGCTCAGCATCAATTACTGACTCACACTTCGAAAAGTGGAGACATCGTGCTAACTCCTGGCAACGAAGCATGCGGTTTGCTGAGATCTGGGCTTAGAATGGCAGGCTGGTTCTGGCTCCCAGGAAGGGCCCCTTACCCAGTGTGACTGACTTGAGGTACACGGGCTGCAGGAAGTGGGTCAACAGTGCCCCTTGCAGGCCGAGCACGTTCCAGCGGAGGATCTTGTCGCTGCAGGACATGGTGCGGAGTCTCTCCCCGAGCCGAATGCCGTCCCACGTGGGCACAATGTCGCTGGACTCCACTGGGATGGTGCCTTCCCCTGTGTGAGAGCGTGGGTCAGACCCACAGCAGCCCTGGGCCGAAGCACGCCCTGTGCGGCTCTATCCATTCCCATGGCTGTGAGAGGACTAGCTGGGAGCCGACTCCCATGTCGCTACTTCCAGCCAGGCTCTCAGGGCGAGGGCACCTCTGCCTCCTCTCTGATCCTCATCTTCCTGCGCACATTTCCCCCACCCAGACCTTCCCTCTCCCTGTAAATAGGACCCTCCAAACCCTGCAATTAATGGCAAAACCCCGGCAGCGGTGCCCGGGGCCCCCGGAGGAGCCGGGCTCAGCAGAGCCCTGGTGTGGGGAGGCGGCGCACACTCACCGTTCTCCACCTTGGTGCGGAGCTTGCCTTGCTTGGGGTTCTCGAAGACGGGGTAGTGGCGGTCTGTGCTCTCCACCGCGCGGTCGCTGCAGGACTTGTCGAAGAGCGCGCCATCCCCACACGGGGCCGTGCTGCAGGACAGGGCCCTGTTAACACTCACCCAGGCAGAGGTTTCCCCCTCCCCCGGGCTCAAGAACTGTCCCCTGTGGTGGGAGACGGGGGTGGGCAGAAGTGTATGTGGGAGTCATTCCATCCCAGGTCCGTACAGAGCGGAGTGGGGCCCATGGACTCGCTGTTTACGGACGAGGAGAGCATTCCACACCCCGCCCTGGAGCCGGCAGGGCCCGCTCGGGCGGCACAGACCTGATGTAGAGGTGGAACGACACGGTATTCTTGATCTGCAGCCTTTTCCCTCCCTTCGCGAGCTCAAATATGCTGTCCTTCGCCGTCTGGGGGTTGTACTTCATCAGCTCGCTGTAGAGAAACCTGCAGGAGGAAGTCGGGTCAGAGACAGTGGGAGCCTGGGGGGCAGCTGCTTCTGGGATCTGCCCCCAGTAAGGAGGCGCCTAACGCTGCAGCCCTTTCAGTTTCTCGGGCAGGAAGGCCCGGGCTCCTCGGGGCCTCGGCATTTCTTAAAGCCGTTAGCCTTTCGGGTCAGTTCATTTCTGCTAAGGGCTCCCGCTCTGGCAGGAGCAGGGGTGCCGGGCAGAACAGCGGCTTCTCCCTGGGCCTCTCGTCAGTGGAAGGAGAGGTGGCTGAGGCGGCGGCTGGCGGCCAGGGCTGTTTACAGACCCTCACAGCAGAGGGGAGGCCCAGGACCAGGAGGCCATTGTGGGCCTTTTAAAAAAAGGCCCGAAGCAGAGTTGGCCCAGAAAGCGAGGGCACGTAGCAGCCGGCCGAGCAGTGGGGCAGCCTGGTCCCAGGTGCAAAGGCTGTCGCCCTGGTCGCGGCCGGCCCGTCTGGGGGCGTCAGAGCCGCCGTGGGGGCGGGAGGTGCCGGCCGACCCGCTCACCTGATGAAGCCCCTGCGGGAGATGATCTCCGCGTGGCAGTCGTTGACGGTCTCGCCCTTCAGGCTCAGGGAGTCTCCTTTCACACAGCGATTGCCTGGCAGGACCGGAAGGAAGGACGGACGTGTGAATGTCCAAAGGACAGCGACGATGAAGGGGGGGCGGGGGGCTGCTCGGTCTTAGGGCGTGAAGGCGGCGCGGCCGCACTTCATCAGAGCCTTACTCCCGTCCCTCCCTCCCCTGGGGATGAGCACCCGCCTCCCCTCCCAATGATCTGGAGCTAAACGGACATGTAATCGCCTGTGTTCCCATCGTAAACTCGCCCCAGGGGACTCCAGGAGAGGACAAGGCCACCTCCGGGCACCGTGTGGGTGTGGGTGGGGGCCGGCAGCCGCACCGACCTGTCCCCAGGCTGACCACGACTCCCAGGTCTTTGGAGTCTTTCTTCATGATGATGGCAGCCAGGATCTTGCGGCCCAGCAAGGAGGGCTGGAAACTGTTGGTGAGCGCGTTGAAGCACCGGTGGCTCAGCATGGCTATCTGGTCGTGGAAGGTGCTGCCAGTGAGAGGGAGCTGCGGGGACAGGAGGCCGAGTCAGGGCCCCGGAGCTGGGCTGCGGCCGCCACGCCTCAGAGTGGGCGGGGAGAGCGCGCTCACTCGACGGTGAACCGTCCTGTCCCCTCGCAGACCTGGTGTCCCCTCCCACGTTCTAGGAGGCTAATATTAAAGCCCAGGAATAATGCACATACTAGCAACGGAAAGCTAACTCCACCCGGAATGGAGCTGGCTGGACCCCCAAGGAAGATAGCACAAAAGTAGACGGCTTAACTGTCTTTGGCTGTGCATCTGGGGACCTCGAGAGGAGGAGCATAGTTCTTCTGAGAGTGGCCCCTGTCACTGGGGTTACCTCTGTGAAACCCATGCGCTCTGCCTTCTCGTTCTCCCCAATCAGGACGCGGAGGGCGGCGTCCGCTGCCTCCTGCTTGCCTTGTTTCTTGCTGTGCGCGCAGACGGCTGGGAACCAGCGACCCCCAACTTTTGCTTGGTAAACAAACCTTTGGGATGAGAGGCAGGGGACAAAGACAAGCATCTGAATTGCCGGCAGGTGTAGGAAACGCAAGTTTTGCTTAAGAGGCAGCCAACATCAGCCCCATCCCCGTCACAGCTCTCCAAGGCAGCAGTGCCTGGACTTTGGACATTCCTGGGTCGCAGTGTGGTTTTTGCTAGATTCGGATATAACCTGGACTGTTACTTAGGTCAGAACGTCAAGTCTGCCTTAGACCAGGGAACCAAACTTTCATGAGGCGCTATTTTTCGATTCCTGGAAGCCTTGGGATGGCTATGGGGGACGGGAGAGCACCTTGGCATGTGACTCTGCTTAAAGGGCTCGAGTTAAGCAGGGAGGTGGGCAGTGCCGCTGCGGGCCGGGGGGGGGGGGGGCTCCCTTTCCGGTGGGGGTCTCACACATATAGAGGGAAGAGCAGGATGGAGCAAAATGGCTGGAGTGTCTCTCAGACCAGAGTTCAAGAAGCCTAGCTTTCAAACACCGATCTGCGGGTTGGAGACCTGCTTTGGCTAATCCACCTGCGTATGGGAAAGGCTTCAGATCGAGGCTGGGCAGCTCAGGCGGTAACGGAACCGAGCTTCTCGCTAGTCCTTGCTCATCCAAGGCACTGAGGGCGGTGGGCTGACGTCCGGTGAAGGACAGGGACAGTGGCTGAAAGACCCTGGAGGGGCGGGGCTAGCATGGTGGGTCTCCGCCAGGTGGAGAATTTCACGGCTGTTCATGTGTTTGCACATGTATCATGTATGTACTGATGATAAAATCTGTGAATTGTGCAGTTAGAATCCTTAGAGCGCACTGTCCAGTATGGTAGATACTAGCCACACGAGGCTATTAACTTTGATTAAAATTCAATACAATTAATAATTCCATTCCTCAGTCACACTCGCCACATTTCAAATGCTCAGTAAGCACATGTGGCTGGTGGTCAGCCTTTTTAGCAAAACGCTGGGGACAAAAGCTCCTGGAATGAGTTAAGAAAGTGAAGACAAAGACTACAAATAATTGAGAGGTTTGGCTGGGAGGGGAGCAGAGAGATGAGGTGGGCTCAAGGGAAGGTGCCGAAGTCGGGCACGGGCATGTCTGCAGGCCGACAGAAGTACCCGGCCTGGTGCCGAGGGAGGGAGGGACCCAGGCACAGCGATGGAGGAAGGATGCTTCCTGCAGGTGGTGCAGACAGAGGCACAGAAGCAGGTAGGGAGGTGGATTAGAAGCAGGTAGGGAGGTGGATTTGCTGATGGCCAAGGTGAAGTACTTGTCATATGATTATTGCTATTTTCTCAATTAGTTTAGAGTGAGGAAGAGGGATTTTGGTGGAAATTTGAAGAAAGAGGCAAAGGTCTGAAATGGTTTTCTCAGAGCAGGAAAGAAAACTACAAAAATGCAGTAGGAAAAAGGCTGGGAAGAGAACACCGGGGGTGGAGGCAAGTGGCAGCCCCTCAGTTAGAACCTTTTAGTGCTGGGAAGGCAGAAGCATGACGCCCCCAAGGCCTGTGGCCTCCCATCAGGGGCCTCCCATCAGCTCGTCTCACCGGGCCGGGCGCCCTGTGCTGTCTGCTCCGCCCACCAGGCCTCCTGCAGCTGCCTAGCAGCTCTGCTCTCCTCCCACCGCAGCAGCAGCACCGGAGGCGACTATCTCCTCCGCCTCGAACCCCCCTCTTCCCTCTTAATCTCCCTCCTTCTCAGCGAAGCCCTCGCCCCTCCGGACTCAGGTCATGCACATGCCACTCGAGCCCTTTGTCATACATATCGAACATGAGAGCTCACGTTTCTTTACGTGACTATTGATGACTATCTGGCTCCTGCACTAACAAATAAGATGTACTCCACAAATACTGGTTGAATGACTAAAGTAGGGAGGTCAGGTGACTACTGCCTTGGGTTCTGTGAGAGAAGATAGTGCTTAGCCTAGAGGGTAAGTGGAGCTGGAAAGACGAGGAAGGATTTGGGATGGAAATTGTAGACATAACAGAACTCACGGATGGAGAGTGGTGTCATTTACTGAGATGGAAGGACAAGGGCAGAGAGGTTGAGGGAGCAAAAATCAAGAGTGCTGCTTTTGAGATGTCCGTCCAAGAAGCGGCAAGCAAGCAGCTGGATCGAGGAGTCTGGCGCTCTGAAAAGGTCTCTAGCATTTTGATATTACAAGCCGTAAGCCATAGCCGGTTTGGCTCAGTGGACAGAGCGTCGGCCTGTGGGTTCGATTCCAGTCAAGGGTGCATGCCTTGATCCCCAGCCCGGTCAAGTCCCATGCAGGAGGCAACCAATGATGTTTCTGTCTCTCCCCTCCCTTCCACTCTCTCTAAAAATCAATGGAAAAATATCTTCGAGGGAGGATAAAAACAAACAAAAATGGTAAAAAAAAATTAGTGAAGGTTGCCAAGAAGGACAGAAAGGAAAAAAAAAGGACCCAGCATGATTCACATTAAGAAGTAAAGTGTGTTATTGTGCCAGACGTTCAATAAACATAGCTTCTAAATTAGTATTTTCCCTCCTCAGTGCAACCTTCCTCGACTCCCCAGGGACACTGGCCAATGTGCACTGTGTCCCCACAGCCCCTTGCATCACCTCCAGGAAGCCCTGTGCTGTGCTTCCGTGTCTGCAGTGCATTCAGGGGCACTTTTCATATCGTTAATCCGGTTCACAGTGAGTGCTTAGGTTCTGAGTGAGTGACTGATTTGAAGCTCTAGGGAGGACTGTATGGAAAATTTTACAGAAATGAAAGAGGAAATGGACTAAACCTGCCACAGATGGAGGAGGTTAAAGAACGAGGGGAGTGTGAAGGGTGTGAACGAGGAGCCTGTGACGCATCCTAAATGCATCGTGCCCGGGAGAGGACCTTTTCTGGCCTCGTCAATGTTGACTGTTCTAAAGTGGGGTGCACGCTGGTCAAAGTACTAGGTTTTTTTTTTTTAAAAAAAAATCCCCACCCAAGGATACTTTTTTCCATTGATTTTCAGAGAGAATGGAAAGGAGGGAAAGAAAAACAGTGAAGTGAGAGATACATCGATTGGTTTTTCTCCTTTAATCTATTAATATGGTAAATTATAATAAATATCTGAATGTAGAATAATCTTTGGTGCCATTTTTCACATTTTAGAATGGCAAAGCTAAAAATGTTGATAATACCATATTGGTCATGGTGTAAGGGAAAAGCCATTTTTATATATGGGGTGGGACAAAAGTAGGTTTGAAAATTATTCATATGGAAATAATACAATAATTAATAAAATAATAATATAAGCATAAACTCTGTGGACTCACAGCTATAAACCTACTTTTGCCCACCCTGTATTGTTGGTATAAGCATAAACTGGTATAATTCTCACTGGAGGAAAGTTTGGCAATATTTACCCAAATTCTGTATGTACATAAACATGTTATTCATTGCAGCCTTGTTTATCATAGCAAAAGTTTGGAAACAATCCAAGTGGTGATCAATAAGGGCTGGTTAAATAAATCATGACATTGGCACACTGCACAGGCCTGGCACAGAAGATATGTTAAATACTTATTTTTAAAACAAAAAGAAAAACATGCTAATATATGCCTGGAAACTTCTAGAGGGACTCAGTCAGTTGGTAATAGTGTATGGGGAGTGTGGGGAGGGAACTAGAGTCTGTGTTAGAAATGAGACCTTTCGTTGCATACTTTTTGAATCAGCTTGAGTGATTTTCTTGAAAATTAAAATTAGTTGAAATTAAAAAGGATCATACTCATTGGAAAAGTGACTATAATCTCAAGATGGCTCATCGTCTAGGGCAGGGTGGGGAACCTTTTTCTGCCAAGGGCCATTGGGATATTTATAACAGCATTCACCGGCCATACCAAATTATCAACTTAAAAATTCCGTTGCTATGAAAAAAGCTCCCAGGCTTATTACATTTCGAGCTCCACCCCTAACGGTGCCTTGGCAGGGCCAGACCAGATGATACGGCCCGCGGGCCGCATGCTCCCCACCCGTTCTAGGGGGTCACGGAGACACGGCTAACGCGCATCCTTCCTTTCCCTGGGTTCCAGGTGGACCCCACCTGCGACACATGCTGCAGTCGGGACAGGACACTCACTTGGGCTCGTGAGGAGGTCCGGACTGGTCAACCAGCTTGAACTCGGCCGCGAAGCCGTGGGAGCGGGCGTACTCCAACAGGCCGCCCACCGGGTTGGTGTTCAGGTATCTGACGAGCTCGCCGATCTTCCTGACCTTGTTGGGCATCATCGATTCCAAGTTCTCGAATGACTCTGTGCTGGTACCTCCGGACTGAAAGAGAATCAGCCGACCAGAGAGGAACCGTAAACACTAAGGAAACCGAGGGACTCCTGGGCCATCCTCAGCCATCCTGTTGCTAAACATGGCCAGCATCTTCTGAGTTGAAAATGACCTCACCTGGTTATCAGAAGATGCCGAGTTGGTGGCCTCCTCGTGCAGGGCCTTCATGGCTTCCTCGGCAGCCATCTGCTTGGCCGCTTTCTTGCTGGGGGCACTCACGGTGGGGAAAGTGTGGTTTCCCATTGCAACACAGTACTGGAACCTGGCGGGAGAGGAGAGGATTAAAATGGCGGTGATGGAGGGATTTACCTAGCCCGTGTCAGTGCTCCTCCTTTAGGACTTGCCACTTCCTTGCACACCTCACCTCTGTGCCTGGAAGAGCTGGCGCCTTTCTCCCTCCTCCTGCCCCCAGTCTCTGAGCCTGGCTGACCCTACTCAGCATGTAAGCATCGGCCTAGTTTCACCTCCTCCTCCTCTTGAACATGTAAGTCTGCAGAGCCTCGGAGCAGAGCTTGTCAGGTAGGCCCAGGGCTTGCCCCGATTTGTCCCACCACCAGTAAACCTCCACGCCGGGTACCTCCCTAGTGCTTGGTCCCTGCTTCGCCCTTTGAATTCCTAGTCCCAGATTCTCTGCTCCACGAGCAGCAACCATGCCCTCAAGGCCCCCCGTCTTCCACACTGAGAACAGGAGTGACTGCTCCGTGAAATCATCTGCCATCTCGGAGGAGGCAAGAAGAACTGTATCTCTCTCTTTTTTTGAGAAAACCTCAGCAGAGATACATGATACAAGAGATGTACTTGGGGTCATGGGCAGGGCCTTCTCTGGATAGGAGGCGGAATTCGCAGGAGCTCCCCAACTTGTGCACACACTCAAGCAATGTACTGACGGGGTTCTTCCCAGATAAGAAGGAAGTTGCTGAAGGGGTGGTGGACGGGGACTCTGCAGTCTGCAGAAAACGAGAGACAAGAAAAAACACAGCACAGATAGTAAGAAAACATTGGCTAGTCCATCACAGAGAGGGAACGGGGAGGGGAGAATTTCTTTTGGCCAACCACACATCAGGGCTGGCTTCCGAAGGAACAGGGCTGTGGGGTTCTTTAAGCATCACAGGAAAGGGTGAGTTAGAGGTTCTGGGTCTCTTTAAAAAAAATTTTTTGAGAGAAACATCAATGATGAGAATCATTATCAGCTGCCTCCTGCATGCTCCCCGCTGGGGATCAAGCCCACAACCCAGGCATGTGTCCTGACCGGGAATCGAACCGTGACCTCATAGGTCAGTGATGGCGAAGGTCAGTGATGGCGAACCTATGACACGCGAACTCATTTTTTGGATTGATTTTTCTTTGTTAAATGGCATTTAAATATATAAAATAAATATCAAAAATATAAATCTTTGTTTTACTATGGTTGCAAATATCAAAAAATTTCTATATGTGACACGGCACCAGAGTTAAGTTAGGGTTTTTCAAAATGCTGACACGCCGAGCTCAAAAGGTTCGCCATCACTGTCCTAGGTCGACGCTCAACCACTGAGCCACCGGGGCCTGGCTGAGTCTCCTTTCCTATCTGCGAGAGGAGACCAGACTTGGTAATCGTCCATGTCTCTTTCAACTCCTGGTGAGGGGGTGGTTGAGGGCACAGCGGCAGCTGACTCTGAGACACAGCATCAGCTGCTGGGCCGAGACGCTTCTAGAAGGCCAGAGAAAGCCCTGCTCCTTCACCGACAGGAAAGGAATGGATACCCTCGCAGAGGGCGGACACCTACCTTCTCTGCCTCTTTCTCGAGGGAAGAGTAGTAGGATTCTTCGGGTCTTCCACTGTCCTTGGCTTTCGCTTCCTCGAGCAGGATGGTCATGGCTTTCATGGCTGCATCCTGCTTGGCCACTTTCTTGCTGCCAGCTTCAGCCGGGGGGAACTCTCGGCCACTGATGACCACTTGGAATTTAAATCTTGATGGAAAGTGATTAGATGTGTGAGCACTAGTCTAGGCCTCCCTTCGCCCTCTCCAGAGAGATCTTCACCCTGGAATTGCTGCTACTCTAAGGGGCTGTTCGACTGGCGGAGGACATGGAGGGCAGGCCAGGGACGCCTGTCCTTTGGAGGCTCGGCCTGTCCCTGCTTTTCAGAAGCAAAGCAGCCAGTGACTCTCCCCCTGGCTCATTAGAGCAAACACAGCCACAGGTGATGTGAGACTAGCTCAGGGAAACCCACTGTCTCTCAACAATGAACTGAGATAAAGTCTATAAAAATGATGAGCTAAAGTCACCACTACAGCCTTGTCAGTAACCAAGCCGTCTTCCTAAAGCAGCTGCGGCAGACCGGCCACCGCAAGGGCAGGTCCTAAGGCAAGCGAAGGCTCTCACAGTGCAGTCCCCGCCCCAGACACCTACGGGGACCAGAACACCGGTCACTTCCTGGGGCCTGTGTTTGTCCCAGCCTACACAGGACACACTACTCTTACGGTTTGTGCTGAGTCACTCTAAAGCTCTATCTGAAGCCTGTGATGAAAGGAATGTCCCTGGTATGTAGAAAACCAAAAAGCCCTTGTTCTAGGCCTCTGGACTGAGCTTAGACTTCCTCTGTTCAAGCTTTCAAATTTGTCCAGCTCTCTGCTCAATCTGGGATTTCATTTAGAAAAAGTAAGTCAAATTTCTTATTTCCCGGGTCTTCTGAATATGTGAATATGGCATCAATGTTTCTTATAGCTGGAGTCCAAAGAAAGGTTAGCCACCCAACCCACTGCTTGTCCCCAACCCTGGGGACAGGGACAGAGGAACGTGAGCGAGCATGACGGCCACCCAGTCTCTACCCCAAACCAACAAGCCAGCCCAGGCCCTGCCACTTCTGGACGGACACACGTCCTCTCCCTAACAGCTCTCCCGCAACGCCATCGCCGAGTGATTAAGACGGGCGCCAGGAGGGAGAACGGTGACGCTGGGAACCTGCCCTTAGCAAACAGCCTAGGATGGCCTCTCCCGCCCTCGCTAGCTGGTGTGCAGCCACTCAGCGTCAGAGGGTTCAGCAGCTCCCTCTGAGCCTGCCTGTCTTCCTCAATCTGTCCGCCGGCCTGCAGGAGGCGGCCAGCTGTCTGAGCGAGGTCACCTCTGGTTTCACAGCTTAGGAGCAGCAGCAAGTGGAGCCCACCCATAGCGCAGAGGAGGTGTGTAAGATCAGAACCGCCACGCGGTAGGCAGGCAGCCTTGCGCGCTCTACACCGTCCTTTCCCCCCGGAAAGGGGGCTGGGGGTGGGTTTGAATCCACTGCTGCCAGCAGCACAAGCTGCCCTTGCACCCACCTGCTCCTGGACCTCCCTGGGGACTTAGTGTGGGGAAGGGGGAACGGCACACGAAGAGGAGTGGCAAGGGAGCCGAGTCTTCATGACCTCTGGCCTTAAGAGGCAGACATGACATTGATGCATGAAAGCTAAGCATTTCCCAAGAAGCTTCATTTTAGCCAATGGGGTCAACCTTCCCTTTGCTCAGCCAGGACTCTGGCTGGTCTGAGGTCTACATTCCTTGCTCAAGATCTAGAGCAGGGGTGGGGAACGTCCGGCCCACGGGCCATATAAAGGCCCTGGAAATCATTTGGTCTGGCCCTGCCAAGGCAACTACAGGCGGGACTCAAAATCCAGTAAATCTAGGAGCTCTTTTCATAGCGACATAATCTATATTCAGTGAATTATAATTAAGCAAATGATGTTATAAATATCCAAATGCCTTTGGCAGACAAAAGGCTCCCCACCCCTGATCTAGAGGAAGGGCCAACAAGGGTGCTTTAGCCAGAGGGCAGAAAGGAAGAGGGAGAAGTCGGGGACCACCACACAACACTGCTCACGAGTCAGCAAACTGTCAGGAGCAAGGGCGCCTGGCCCAACCCGAGGTACATACGGTTCCTGGGGTCTCTTACCGAGGTTCATGGGGTGGTCCACTCTGCTCTATGAGGTTGAACTCACAGGTCTGACTAGCGAACTGAGCATATTCTAACAGCCCGCTGATGGGGTTCTTCAGCTGGCACTCAGTCAGTTTCTTGTAGGGTGAACACCGTGGCAAGCCATGGCTGTAGAAGGAGGGCATCTCCATGATGGCTCGAAACTCACCTGGGGCTGTGTGGATACTATTCAAGTCATCTGGGATGTCATCTGTGGCCCACTGGCCATTCTCAAAGTCCACATACCCAGGTTTTGAGGGGCCATTGTCACAAACAGGTGGTTTCGGTTTCACTGGTTCTGGCGAGACCGGTGGCCTACTTTCTGCCTTGACGACCGGCTCCTGCCCATTCTCCACTTTTTCTGTGGCGGCTTCGTTTGAGGCATCTGGTGCGGCTTCGCTTGAGGCATCTGGCGTGGGTGAGTTACAGGCGGGGAGCTCTGCGTCTGTTTTGGTCTCAGGGATAGCAGCTTGCGTGGCGTCGGGAACACTGTTCGTACTTCTCTTCATTTGTATTCTCTCTCGCTTCTTGTCCGTCAGGTACCAGATTGGAGGGGTTGTCCCTTCCCTGTACACGTCCCCCTGCCTTTCCAAGTCAATCAGTACGGCGTTGACATCGCGGGCTTTCGAGAGGCCGATATTTTTAGCCAAATTCAGGGCGGAGGACTTGACCACGTCAAACAGGTGGTTGCAGATGTCTTCCTTGATCTCGGCCATGTCTGCAGGCTCAGGGGGGTCCTCCGAGTCGGACGCGGGGCTCCTGCCTGCGGTTTCCCAGCTGGGGCCTGGGTTTGGGGCTCCCTGGCTCCAGCCGTCTGCTGTCGCTACTTGGCTGTGCTGGTTCAGAGCCTGAACGGGAGCTGCGATTCTCCACAAAGGGGGCGTTCCCGCCTCCCTGTGCAGCACACCCCTGCCTTCCAGGCAGTATAAGATGTGGTTGATTTCCTTCTTTGGGGCCTGGAGCTTCCGAGCCAGGTCATGTGCTGTGGTGGCCTTCCCTTCGCCAAGCTCCTGCAGGAGCTCTAAGACCCTCTGTTCCTGATCCTGGCCGATGCTCAGTGCCTGGAAACGTGAGGACAGCCTATCAATACCTCCCCAGGGCAGAGCCCCGCCGCGAGGGGAAGGAGGCCAGAATCCTCTGGGGCGTACCTGGCGTCTGAGAGGCACACCCCTGGGGACACCCCAGATCTCCGGCTGCCAGCCTCGGGCAGGTGGTCCTGGAAACCGTGGCCAGGGTTCAGGGAGGAGGGGTGACGGTGGTGGTGGTGCCTGCTTTCCAATGAGGGGCACTTCTGGGAGCCGCCCCTTGAGAAACTCTATTTGCTGAAGCTGGAAGCTCTGAGGATAAGATCCTGGCGCTGGCTGCTGGTGTCTGCGCTTGCTGTGCTCATAGCCTTGAAATGGACCGGGGTAGTATCTGCCGAAAGAACACCCCTGCAGAACGAGAAGACGAACAGGGACGTGAGCAGCGGGGAGCCTGGCCCTTCTTCCTGCGGGGGGTGCAGGGGAGGGGGGTGCTGCCCCTGATTTCTAGTGGCTGGGAAGGTGTGTGTGATGGGCTGGGGACCCAGCAAGGATGGCTTGCCCACCTCGTAAGCACTGCCGTTCACCCACCAAAGAGAAGAGAGAGGAGCAGGAAGTGAACACAGAGCTCCCAGGAGCAGCACGGCCGCTCCAGCAACCCAACTCGTTCTGTTCCCTTTGGCAGAATTTTAGGGAGCTGAGAATGACTCTTCCACTCAGCAAAACACTTACCCTTTAAAAATAAAAACAAACGGATGTTTTCTTTCCAAAAGAAACAGAAAGAGCCCTAGCTGGTTTGGCTCAGTGGATAGAGTGTCCGCCTGTGGACTAAAGGGACCCAGGTTTGATTCCTGCCAAGGGCACATGCCTGGGTTGCGGGCTCAATCCCCAGTAGGGGGCGTGCAGGAGGCAGCCAATCAATGATTCTCTCTCATCGATGTTTCTCTCTCCCCCTCCCTTCCTCTCTGAAATCAATAAAAATATATTAAAACAAAAAGAGAACAATAGCCTAAGTGCAAATGGGCCAGGGGACCAGGGCATGGACTGCAGCACAGACCCCTCGTGTCTAAAATCTATCCTTTGGGTGATAGAACAAAAGGAGAGGTAAGTGGAAGCCAGTCCTGTGCGGCTCTGACAGAAGACCCCCCTCCCCCCAAGGGCAGCCGGAGCACAGGCTCATCACCGCCAGAATCTGGTTTTAGGGCGGATGGAGGATTCCTTAGAAGACAGACACATGTGCTCAGACCTGGGTGGTGCTCAGGCTTGGAAGGGACGCTGGCACTAGCTTCTAACCAAACCACCAGCTCACCTGGATGAGTGGAGCTGGCAGGGTCACTCCGGGAGACCTCAGCCCCGCCCTCCCACACTCCCTCCCAACAGCTGTTTCCATGGTTACATTCTGTGTCCTTCAGAACCCAGTGCCATGGGTACAGCCACACCGTGTCCTCACAAACTGCCATACATTTACCAGAACACCGAGCACTTGTGACCTCTCCCCCCAGCACACACACCCGTGCTCATCCTCTCTCCCAGGAGGGGGTGGAGGTGGGAGATCCAGGGTGGGGCTGTACCTTCCTCTGGGGCCCGCAGACGTGCGTGTGTGTGTGTGTGTGTGTGTGTGTGTGTGTGTGTGTGTGTGTGGTGTGGATGTGAGGCTGAGGGGGCGATAGCTGGGATCGATGCTTCCTCATGCTTGTCCCCATGTCTGATTCTCCTGAGGGGCCAGGACCTGCAGGCGGGACCCTTTTTCAATAACCACATCCTCTGTTGCAATCAGGGGGTTTTAGCATCCCTGCCACGCCCCCTCACGGTCTCCTGGCTGTGGAGTTCCCCGATGACCACCACTCGTCTAGCGTCTCACTCAGCCTCACCGTTACTCCAGCGGGGCCACCACCAAACCTCAAACCCGGAGACTCTTCCAGGGGCCGGCAAACCTTTTCTGGAAAGGGTCAGGCAATCTTCAACTGCAGCACAAAAGCAGCCACACACAACGTGGAAACTGTTAGACAGGACAGGGGTCTCAAGGTCTAGGGAGCTCTAAATGCAATTTCTTGCTAGATGTTAAATGTAGCATAGCATTCCGCAGCGAGACCTGTAACCTGGAAGAGCCGACAGGAACTCAGCTGGGATGAAAGCAGCCAACTGCAAAGGACACATCAACATGTAACTGACCAAACAGTGTATCTAAGCCGTGGGAGGCTCATGAACATGAATGAGGAGGAGATGAACCTGGCCTCCTTTACTTGCCGCAAGGAACACCTTGTGGCAACCACTTTTGTGACACCCCGAGTTCGGGGACAAACTTCATTTACAAAACAGGCTGCACTTGCTGACCCTGCTCTTTACCGATGGGCACTTCCCTGTTGGTACAACTTCCTCCCCTTGTGATGTGATCCCATGTGGCTGCAGGCCAGCCAGGCCCACTCATCCCCGTCCTGGGGTCACACACCTCCTCATTCAGCCTGGACGTCACGGTCCCGTTTCCTTCTCCCGCCGAGGCCCACTGTCCCCTTTCCCGTTCCAAAGGCTCCACATGGTCCTGGAGAAGGGCGGTGACTCTTGCTAACGGGGCCATAAATTCCTCCTCTTAAACTTGTTAGGTTTTCCCTGCTGTGTGGTGGCCAGTTCAGTCTGACACTGGCTCCCTGTGGACTGAGCGCTTATAAAGTCTCCTCCACGGTTTGGTGACACAGCACCGACCGTCTCCTCGCACCTGTTTTTCCTTATGTCTGCCCCTGCCCCTTTCTGCCGCCCTTTACATATAATTAGTCGCCAAGGTTTTAAGGGCCTCTTCTTCCTTCCCCAGCTTGATCTCATCCACTCCCTCAACCTAAACCAGCCTCTTCAGCAACTGTCAAATCTATTCTCTCCAGCCACCACCTTGTCCTGATGCTTAAGACTGGAATTTCCAAATGCCTAGATAATCTGTTCACTTAGCTCTCCTACTATTACCGCAAACGCCGCATATTCCAACCAAATTCACCTTTCCCCTCAAGCCAGCCCCTCCTTCTGTTCTTACTGCTGATAATGGCACCCTTCTCCTCGTAGTTACTAAGGTGAGAAACCTGAGTCATCTGTGCTGCCTGTCTGCCTTCCCCCATCCAAAAATCAGGTAGTTGCCAAGTCTTACCTTGTCTGCCACCTCCGAATTTTCCCTTAAACGTGCATTTACAGTTCCGGCCCCTCGGTACCTCTCACCTGGGCTATGGAAGACAAGAGCCTCTAATCTCCCCATGCCTCTACATCCTAGTCCGCTCGGCCTGCTTCTCCCTCTGTTGCCACCTATTACAAGTCCAACCCGTCCCTGCAGATCTCCTTAAATGCTTCCAGCCTTTGAACTCCTCCTTCTCGGCACCTGTTAAGCTGCTGACTTTACCTTTTATCAGAGCTATTGGTTTTTTTAAATGGTGCACATAGATTGCAGTATATCTGAAAGGCGATTGACAATATTAGGTTTTCTAGAAATTATGCTCAACTCTCCACTCCCAATATTCCCATGGAGTACTGGCGGGGGTCTGCAGCCGACTCCACAGGAAGCTCCCGCATCCCCAGCACCTCAGAGAGCACCTGGCACAAAGTTGATCCCGAAACGTTTGTGGAATTACGACCATGAACAAGACATCCCCTGACACACTATCCCTTCTCTTCTTGCCGCACACACTCCTTTCACCAGCACACTGCTAGGGGCACAGGTGTGCGTGTACAGAGTGGGAGTTGGCTCACAAAAGCTGAATTATGGGGATTTCAGCGCTTCTGTTTAGTTCTTTGACCGACCTTGGTAAAATAACTGTTTCAAAATGGCTGAAGTCAGTTCCTAGCCAAATGTTTTTAGATCTAAACTGCTTCTACTTGGCCAAAGTCTGCAAAACCTTTTAATGTCCATCTATGTAAGAAGAGTAGAGTAAATCATGACACGTTCAGGCTATGAAACAGTACTCACAGTTAAAAAAAAAAAAAAGTGTTACGATCTGTTTGTATTCACCTGGAGGAAATTTAGGCATGATAGAATGTTAAATTAACCAGCAAAAAAAGCAAGCTGCAGAGGAACATGCATGCTAGAACGCCCCGTGTTGTAAACAAAAGAAAAACCCATGAATATGTGCGTGTGTGTGTGTGTGTGTGTGTGTGCACACGCTAGAATGAGCACAGAAAAAGGGACACATAAATTTGTTAACAATTGCTATTTTAGGGAAAGATTAGAGGGAGGTTATTTTTTCTTACTTGCCCTCCTCAAGTCCCTTGCAAGACAAGCCAAGCCAAACCACCCCTTGAGAACAGCCATTTGCAGAACCACTGAATGGGAGCGAGAGCAAGAAAGTGGGGAACCACCGCAGGTCGGCCATTCTTAAATCCCTCCATCGCCACTCACCCACTATGGTCTATGTATCATGAAAACCATGTAACAAGCCATTTCACATTCACTGCCCTGCAAACCTGCACTTCAATCTCGTCTCATATTTAGCATCAAGAGATGAGCCCCCACTTTTACTAAGTGGGCTCCATAGAGAAATATATTGACATGTGTGAAAAACTGCTTTTCCTTAAGTGCCTAATTCTTTTAAAGAAAATATAAATAAATAAAAAAGGAAGATATATATATGTGTATACGTATGTTTGTGTATATATAACGATCATGGTTATAGTTATAAGGCCATATGTGCTTTGGCTTTATGTAGTCAAAATTCAGAATTATACACTAAAAAGGGTAAGTTTTACTGTGTAAATTTACCTCCATTTTTAAGATATATATAAAATACATATGCACGTATGTATGTATATACACAAGGTGGGCGAAAGTAGGTTTACAGTTGTAATACAAATAAATAATACAAGATTAAAGCCTGGCTGGTGTTGCTTAGTGGTTGAGCACCGACACATGAACCAAGAGGTCACTGGTTCGATTCCTAGTCAGGGCACATGCCGGGGTTGCGGGATCGATCCCCGGTTGGGGACGTGCAGAAGGCAGTGGGGGTCAATGATTCTCTCTACCCTTCTGCCTTTCTCTCTCTAAAATCAATAAAGACATTAAGCCCTAGCCGGTATGCTCAGTGGATAGAGCGTCAGCCCTCGGCCTGAAGGGTCCCGGGTTCGATTCCTGTCAAGGGCCAATGCTCTATCTCTCTCTCCCTTTCTGAAATCAATAAAAATATATTGGGGGGGCCCTGACCAGTTTGGCTCAATGGCTAGAACGTCAGCCTGCGGACTGAAGGGTCCCAGGTTCGATTCCGGTCAAGGGCATGTACCTTGGTTGCGGGCACATCCCCAGTAGGGGGTGCGCAGGAGGCAGCTGATGGATGTTTCTAACTCTCTATCCCTCTCCCTTCCTCTCTGTAAAAAATCAATAAAAATATATATTTTTTAAAAATTAAAAAATACATATTGGGGGGAAAATAAAGTACCATGCACAGAGAGGGAATGTGACTTGCCTAAAGTTCACAGCATGTGGCAAAGGCAGAGACGGGGTAGGAGTGTTGGGCACAGG